TTTAACCAGAGCAAAGATAGATTAAATAGGCATTCCATACCAATGCTTTTAATCACTTATGAACTTTTAAAAAAAAATCTCACTGTAACTACAGTTTAATTTGAAAGCAAGAGTGTGTGCTTGTGTGTAAATATATATATATATATGCATATATATACATTCACACATGTAAGTGTGTGTTTGTGCACACAAGAAGGTATGCATGTGCACACATTTTTAGCAGTCAGTCATCAATGCTCTTGCTATGGAGAAAGGTGTTCTTTCACTTTTTTTCCTCCTTTGGTATTGGTTTTCAATGTACTCATTGGCTAGAGACACTGATGGCAATTTACATGCAGCACTAATCAGCTCCTGGATTTTTTTTCTTCAAACAATTGTTTGAAACAACTACTGGAATATTGTCCACAGTAAGCTGGAAGTTTGTTGTAGTTTGCCTCAATTATAACTCTGACTGTATACTATAGTGTTAATTTTTCAAACAGCTCTTAGCACTTTTATATTAATTACCCATTTGTGCATTGACTTTTCTTTTACAAATGCTTGTTGTGAAAGACACAGATACCCAGTATGCTTAATGTGAAAAGAAAATGTGTTCTGTTTTGTAAAGGAACTTTCAAGTATTGTTGTAAATACTTGAACAGAGGTTGCTGAACTTTAAAACAAATAATTAATTTATTATTATAATGACCTAATTTATTAATCTGAAGAGTAACCATTTTTGTTTTAGAATATCAAAAAGGTGTTCTAGCTGTTTGCATCAAAGAAAAAAAAAAGATTTATTATCAAGGGGCAATATTTTTTCTGTTTCCAAAACAAAATTTGTTAGAAATCGGGTAATACAGAAACAGATTTACATCTGCCTAATTACTACAAATTTTGTTGACAATTAATCCATTCCTGGAATTTAAAAAAAAAGTCTTTATCCAAAAATTGTAAATGCTTGCTTTTGTTTTACAATCACGGCCATATTCTGAAAATACTAACAGGATATAGGACATGGTGTAAATTTTGTTATTATTATTTTTAAAGATATGATTTATCCTGAGTGCTGTATCATTACTCTTTTACTTTTTGGTTACTGTTGTGCTCTTGTAAAAAGAAATACAAATAAGATTTCCTGAAAAATAAAATAGATATGTGGCACTTGGAGTGCACTGCAGTTCTACAATTTGTTTCCTTTTCTTCAAAAAGCAAAACTGTAAGGTGGTTCTTTGTGATTTGGTTCCTAACAGCAAATAAACATTTTGAATCTAAGAGATGCACTGTCGTTTTCAATAGAATGCACCACCTCTTGGTGGGGAGAGAATTATTTCCCATTATGTTTAAATGAAGTCAATGCTGTGAAATTATTGGCATAAAAGACATACTCCCCAACCCCACTCCCATATTTCTCCCTTGCCCCCCCCAAAAAAACCCTTTTCTCCCAGAACCCAGGCTTTCCCCAAATAAATTGTAGAACTGGGTACCCCTACAGTCCTTCATGGTAGGGAAATTGGGCTAAAAATACAACCCTTGAGGCACTTGTTCCTACAAAAAGATAACTGCCTTCATGGGACTCTAGAATCATCTGATTGAGAACTTATTCATTAAATAGAACACATCCAGCATCTAATACAAATGTTTTAACAATCATAAACTCATATACTACAGGCTCAACAAGTGGACATGAAGTTTTGCACTGAGAAATACTTCACCTTAATGAACTACAGTATCCATGAAGTCCCTTTGAAAACTAATCCATAATGGTGTCATGTGGGCCATGCCATAGGAAAGTAGGAAACATTTCAGATCACTTTGTAGAGTCAAGATAATAACCACAGACAAGCATTTCATCTGTAGGAAAATAAGAATGCCTATTGACCTGCAAAATTCAAGTCTTTAACTTCTAATTCAGGCTTCATTAATTCGGAATGTTATAAACTTCAGTTCAGCCTTGGTCAAGTTTTCTATCAAGATAAATAAGATACGATGAGTTTAACCCACTTGCTGTTTTAAACACTTTAAAAGCAACCATTCAGAAACAGTGATCTAAAGTCACAGAATTATTAGAACTTGAGAACTGGAAAGAACCTCAAACCCCATCTGGTCCAACTTGTGTCTGAGCATGAATTTTTTTTTTTAATTCTAAACAAGTAGTCTTGTAGTATTTTCTTAAATACTTCTAGTGAGGGGGAACCCACTATCTCCCAAGGGAATCTATTCCACTTATGGACAGCTCTGCCAGGAAGGTGTTTCTTTCTACCACAAGCCCAAATGCAACATCCACCCGTGGCTCCCCCTTCTGCCCTTTAGGACCAAATGGAAGAGGTCAAATCCCTCCTTTATTTCTTCCATCTCAGTTCTTCAAATACCCACATCCCTAAGAACTTGAACTCAACTGTTCTCTTAGTCTAGGTAGTATAAAGCTGCATTTCTTTTAAAGGAGAATTGATAGGTTTTGATTAAGTTAGGCTGGCCCAATTAATTTAAGTTGGTGAAACCATCATGAATATAGATCAGAAAGAAAGCCATTCCTTTTCATTCTCCTTCACTGGCTCATCCTCTTACCCGACTCCTACAAATGGGATTTTTTTCCTCCATACTCCCTTAGTGACTTCATTAACTCCAATAGGTCAACTGTCATCTTTTATTCAGATAACTCCCAGATTTATATATCCAACTGTGGCCTGTTTCCTGAATTCTAGCCCCACGTGACCAGCTGCCTGTTGGATATATTTCCAAACTACATGCCCACTGGCACACTAATTTAATGTATCCAACATAACTTAAAATCTTTTAAAGATTTTAATACATAGTTAAAATTTAATATTTAAAGACTTAAAATCATCCTTTTTTTTGTGAGGCAATTGGGGTTAAGTGACTTGCCCAGAGTCACAGCTAGGAAATATTATGTGTCTCAGGCCAGATTTGAACTCAGGTCCTCCTGACTCCAGGGTCAGTACTCTATTCCACTGCGCCACTTAGCTGCCCCTTAAAATCATCTTTTTAAAAAAATCCTTCCCTCTTCCCAACTTCACTATTATGGTCAAAGACCTTTCAGTCACACGTGTTCACAACTTTGAATCTGTCCCTGACTCTTGCTTCTCTCTCACCTCTCATCATCAATCACTGACAAATATTTTCATTTGCAGGTTTACAATGTCTTTAGCATCCATCTCTTTGTGTTCATTCACATGACTACTATAGTTCAAACAGTTATTCCCTTTAACCTGAACAATTGTCAAGAACTCTTCCCTCTCTGACTTCCCCTCCAGAAAATTGCCAGATATTTTTAGACGACAGGACCCTGTCACTCCACTCAAGAAACTCCAGTGGCTCACTCTTGCCTTTAAGTTAAAATACAACCCTATCCTCAGTTCAGCTTTTAGACTTTTGCAATCTGGCTCCAGCCGTACCTTTCCAGGATGACTTTTATGTGATTCACCTTCACACATCTGACATTCCAAACCGGCATACTTGTTCTACCTCATACATGTAATTCCATCTCCTATCCTCACACCATGATATAGGGTGTCCCCTATGCCTAGAATAAATGTCTTTCTTACTGCCCTTCATAGGATCTCTACCTTCCTTTAAATTTCAGCTCAATGCTACTTCCTGCCATTCGTTATTAATGCCTCCCCTCCAAGCAAAATTACTTTGTATCTTCTCTGCACATATTCTTAGTTTACTTTCTTGTGTTCATGCCCCCAAAAGAATGAAAATTTCTTAAGAGCATGGGCTATTTTGTCTGTTTTTAAATCCCCAGCACCTAACACATACTAGGTACTTAATCCATGCTTGTTGAATGAATGAAATTCAATATAAAGTGACTAACATCCAATCCACTAAAATGGAATGAGCTATCCAGAATTGGCTCCATCAGGAATAAACATGAAAATGCCAACACCTACAACATGGTGTCATATATACATAAAAAGTTATTACATTTTAAAAATATTATAGTATCTGTTACACCTTTTAAGTATACCATGCAATCCTAAGAAATAAGCAAGACTTCTACTATGGCAGCTCTCTGGAAGGAGCTATGGTCTCTTTAACCTTCCTTTGTTGTATGGCATTCTTCAGTTTGAAGCTCTAAATTCTACAGGGATTAGTAAAAACAAGTTACTGAGACATCAAAGGAATTCTCATCAGGAAGTCTGAGTTTGAATTTTTAGAATAAGACATTTGAAAATATTTTACGATGGTTGATTTTTTTAAACATTTATCACATGACATTGGCTTGATCGGACTGGCAAACATGTTTTCTGGATTAGTGATAAATCCATGAGTAGAATTAATGCTGTAAGAAAATATGACTATAAATACCATCATACCACATTGGAAGAGACAAGTACAATACTATAGTACATAATTTCTCCAGCACCGCAGAGGATGAGGACTCCTCTTAAAGTGCATTTCCAAACAATTCAAATACAATTACATGGAACAGAACATTTAAATGTAATTAAGCAATATTGGAAATGAATGGCTATTAAATATTAAAAATAAACCACTAGTTAAATAGCAAACTATACAATTATCTCCAATAGCATGATGATTGTTTTCATTCATCAAGTAGTAACTAAAAGGAAAGCCTAGCCTGCTTTTAGTTCCTTAAAAGCACTGCAAGCTCTGTAAGATTCAATCTCTATACAATACTGGTAGTTAATATTCTAATTTTCTTATTTAAAAAAATCAGTGTTCCTACTATCACTGGAGAACACAGATTATATTTCTCAACAATTGAGGCTTGATTTTTCAGTGCAGTTGAGGTCCAGAAACCAATAAAAATTCAGTCTTAATGTAAGTCAATTAAATGGGAACTGCACAATTAATGTTATTCTGCCTTCCTCAAGGCAACGGGATAATTTATAATTGTTAAGAGATTAGCAAAAACAAAAATAATGCTCATGATTCAAAATTTCTCTTGGTTCAAAACAAGGTATGAGTGGAGCCACTGCCTATTAATACTGAAGCTTATCATCATGTGCTTGAGTGCTGCAGTTTCCATCGCTAGGAGGTAAATATGGGTAATGCTAACAGTGATTTAGCTTGTTATCCAATGAAGGTGAACTGCTGCTCCTCTACGTAGGGCACAGAACTGAAAAATAAAAATAAAAAATGTAAATAGGGAGACAAAAGACTACAGAAGCACTGGGTTCTATTCTTACTACAACTAAAATATCATATACTGCTACCTACAGAGCAGAGTGAAACAATTTCACAGGGCTATATCCCACAATGAAAAGTTACATCAAAACACATCAACTAGGTTTTTCCAGAAATGAGTAACCTAAAGGCCATGTCTCATTGATCACTATTAAAGGGAAGGAACTATAATTTCAACCGTATACTGCAAGGCATTTTAAAAAAGCAAAGGAAGATTTCTTATGTAGTAAAAGAAGGGTGCAAAATTTCTGCCAACATTTTTATTCCCATATAGGAACAATACAGCAGCAACCATCCCTCCTAAACTTCCTGCCTTCAGCCCTCTTGGGATGGCAGAGGTGGCAGTGGGAACAATTAAGCAGGGATGGGAAAGAGCTGCTTAACTGGCCCATGCTTCTATTCTTCCCTCCAGGTCACCTTCATAACTAATTGAGGCATTCTTTATGCCCTCACTGGAACCTTCTTTCACTTCTCAGCTTGGTTTTAAAACTAGATGAGTATTTAGCCACACAAGCCACATCTATCAATATCAATTAACAAGCCAACAACAAACCAATGAAGAAGAAGAGTTCCTCTGCTCCCTTACCCTCTTCCAGCTGGCAAAGTGCTCCCCAACTGGTCTCTGTGGAGGCGAATAGTGAAGCAGGGGAAAATCTCCATAATGGGTGGAAAAGTACCGCTTAATCATCTCAAACCAACCTCCCACCTCCACTGTACAACTTGTATGGTATTCTTTCTTTCTTCTTATTTACACCTGACTACATAATTACTTATAGTCAAGTAGCTTGTGGCTTCTTTTTCCACCCAGTCCTTACAGAGAGGGCAAATGCAAAATCAATATACACGCACAAACATCTTATTAAAAAGGCAGTTCCAGTTATTAAGAGAATATGGGATAAGAGGTAGAAGCCAGTTGCTTGAGCAGGAAGGATGCAAAAAATAAGGATGTGATTTCATTGATTCATGCAGTATAGGTGAAATTTATAGTACTACATTTTCCAGATTTAGGAATTTTAAAAATTACTTCCCCCAGGGCACTGTGCTGTCCTGATCACAAAACTCTTCCTTTTCAGTCAAATGTGAAATTTTAGAGAATGATTTAAAAGCTCATTCTACTTTTATCCCTCATAGGAGTATACTACTTTAATCAGAAATTCAGACATGTTCTTTATACTCTTCTCATTCCTGTATCACATCAATAAGACACAAACCTCAGAACAATCCAGCTTTCATACCAATGCTAGCAGAACACAAAAGCAAACAAAAATGTCAGGTATAAAAAAAATTCTGAAATTTTAAAGATCCTGCATCAGAAAAAGATAGCATTATGGATTAGTGTGTTGAATCAGGAATTTTTCTCTCACTATATTAATCTACTAATGATCAACCTGTGAATTTAGAGGCACATGAATTTCTGGCTAGAGACATTTATGATTTATTCACTCATGTCAGATTTACCATGTGACTCATTTAATCATATTTCTCCTTTCTTTACACAGGTAATATGGGACAAGAAGAAAGTCCTTCTTGAGATAGCTAATGACCAATAGAGAAGTTCAATCTTTTAACCTGCCTGGGATGATACTTTATTGGTGAAGAATGGAGTTTAACAGGGAAGAAATAGTTATCACCCCAAGTGGAATGTTCCTACAGAATCATGGCAAAAAATTATAACATGAATTTTACAATACTTTGCAAATCTTAAGTATTCCAATAACCAACACATTTTCAAGTTTAATTGTAAGAGGAAGTTTAATTTTATATATTATTACATTAGTTCTCCAATTACCCCTTAAAATCCAGCTTCTGACCTTTTCAGCCACACTGAAAGTACTTTCATTAACTTTTCAAATGATCCTCCCTGGCTTCTACTCTATTCTGAATCTATTACCATGCTGCCCACATTTATGCCTCAGTACTGAGATTCTACATCATCAGCCTGTTTCTGGATTTCTCCTAATCCCTTTCAACAATCACTGAAGTGATCTCCTTTTGGAGTTCTCTTCTACCAAAAAGATTATTGATACATTATGCTCTATTTTATGTCTCCTTATGGGCAGCCAATTTTGATTCCTTTATGACACGATTACTCTCTTCACCAATTGTTGAAGCATACTTCTAATACCAGCGATAGGGCCACTATCCCCTTTTTTTAATCCTCCCTCCCCTCCACTTGCATCTCTATTTAATATCCAACTGTGAAAGTTATCACAGACTCTGGACCTATAAGAAGGTTAATAAAAACTGAAAATGTAACTCATAGCACTAGTATTGTAAGCTACCGGTATATTACCACAAAACTCTAGTAAGTTTATGAAAAGCTGACAAATATTCTAGATTAGTAGGTTTTTTAAAAAATCTATTGGTAAGATAGCCTATCTTACCAGAAAAAATCAAGTGTGTTTATGCTTTTATACGTACTCACCTTTCAGAATGTAGTCTGTTAACAAACTTGGAACTTTGTCACTGTCTTCCTTCATTGCATGAAGGACTACAATATAGACAAAAGGAAAAAAAGGCACATAATTTTCAATTAGACAAAAAATATGATCAATCATAAGTTAAATCATGAATTTGTTTAGATAACATAACCATATTCCATTTGAATTATGCACTGGGTGTGGGGGAGAGAGGGAGAGACATAATGTATAAAAGCCCAGAACTATATTGGTTAAACAAGTCTTTGTTCAAACAAGAACATTTTGCAACCTAAGAGTTGTTCCTCTAATTCCAAATTTTAAAGGACTAATAAGGAAAACAGAGGCAGATGGGGTGGGGGAAATATGTTATTTGCACAGAGCCATAGATTTCCAATGATTAATCTCTATAAATTTTCATAGTACATGCTTTTCAAAGCATTCTAAAAGCTGGAAACTACATATTTCATTTTTTTTAAAGAAATTAGGTTCTTAGGTACCTAAATAATTAGACATATACTTAATGAATAAATCAATCAATATGCATTTCTTAGTTCCTACATTGTGTCCAGTGCCATAATAAGCAGTAAGGATTCAAAAACGGAAATGAAATGTTCTGTGCTCTGAGATCTTAAGGACCCAACACCCTGCATTGAATGTAAGCTCCATGAGAATAGAGACTACTTTTCATTTTGTTTTTATATCTTGGCTAGTATAGTATCTTAGCCATAACAGGTGTTTAATAAAAGCTTGTTGGATTGGATTTTCAGGAATTTTTATCAGACTAAGATAATAAAGACTACACATCATCCTCACATTTTTCTATACACTGATGGCAGCTCAGTGGCCTTTATATAAGGATGGACCCATCTAACCTCATGATATCTAAGTATAGCTGAAGAGTAGGAAGCAGCATTCATTGCTTTGGATAACCTGTCATCTTCTGGATTAAACCTGACAGAAACCAACACAAACTTCCAAACGTACAACACTTTTTTTGTTTGTTTCAAATAACTTTTCTTTTGTAAACACATACACACACACACACACACACACACACACACACACACACATATATACAATGTAGATGTAAATATATTTATTTTTAGCATTCTTTTTTTATATTTTGAGTTCCCAATTCTCTCCCTTCCTCTAGCCCCTCCTCCACCCACTCAGAAGGCAAGCAATTAATTATATATGTGAAATCATGCAAAACGTATTTCCATGTTTGCCATGTCACAAAAAAAGTAAGAAAAACAAAGTGAAAAAATTATACTTCAATTTGTACTCAGTTCATCAGTTCTCTCTTTGGAGGTGGACAGCATTTTTTGACATGAGTGTTTCAGAAACTGTAATGGATCATTGTATTGATCAGAGTAGTTTAGTCTTTCAAAGTTGATCATCATTACAACATTGCTGTTACTGGATACAATGATCTCCTGGTTCTGCTCACTTCACTCTGATAGGTCTTGCCAGGTTTTTCCTAAAACCATCCCCTTCATCATTTCTCACTGCACAATAGTATTCCATCACAATCATATTCCACAATTTATTCAGCTATTCCCCAATTGTTAGGCATCCCCTCAATTTCCAGTTCTTTGCCACCACAAAGAGAGCTGCTATAAATATTTTTTTTGCTACAGTTGGTCCTTTTCCCTTTTCTTTCATCTCTTTGGGATACATACCTAGTAGTGGTATTGCTGGGTCAAAAGGTATGTACAGTTTTATAGCCCTTTGGGAATAGTTCCAGATTGTTTTCTAGAATGATTAGACCAGTTTATAACTCCATCAACAATTCATTAATGTTCACTTACTTTCCCACATCCTCTCCCATATAAAACTTTTAATAGAAAAAAAATGCCAGTTCTATCTAGCTCAAGAATATACCTAACATAGCTATTCCTAATCATGACTGTCTTTCAATACACATGGACCTAACTGACAAATGGGTATCTTACAGAGGATATCCATTATCTTTCCTGAGAACAAGAAACCTGAAGCAGTGATAGCAGGAGTCCTTCTATAATAACTGTTGAATACACACTTCAGTCTTGAGACAGCTATAAGAGAGAAAGAGTACTTGAACTACCAGCCTTCAGAGGCAGAGCCAAGATGGCAGTGTAAAATTAGGAACTCACCTGAACTCTCCCAAATTCACCTCCAAACAACTTTAAAGTAATGCCTCCATGGAAAAGATTAGGTTTGCAATACACAATAGTAAATGACAACAGTAATCTAGCATTTGCTTAATGCTAAGATCCATGCTTTTGGGGCAAGAACTCACTGCTTGACAAGAAATTCCAGTTTTGGAAAGCAGTTTGGTGGAAACCAAGTACAGACCAACATCTCACACCATATACCAAGATAAAGTCAAAATGGATACAAGATTTAGACATAAAGGGTAATATCATAAGCAAATTAGGGGAGTATAGAATATTTTACTTGTCACATAAGGGAAGAATTTATGACCAAACAAGATACAGAACATTACAGGATGTAAAATGGATAATTTTGATTACGTTAAATTAAAAGGGTTTTACACAAATAAATCAATGTAGCCAAGATCAGAAGGAAAGCAGGAAACTGGGGGAAAAGTTTTACAGCAAGTTTCTTTGGTAAAGGCATCATTGCTCAAATATATAGAGAACTGGGTTAAACTGAGAAGAATATGAGTCATTCCCCAATTGATAAATGGTCAAAGGCCATAAAGGAGCAATTTTCAAAAGAAGAAATCAAAGCTATCTATAGTCATAGGAAAAACTACTCTAAATCATTACTGATGAGAGAAATGCAAATTAAAACAACTCTGAGGACTACCTCATGCCCATTAGATTGGCTAGTATAATAGAAAAGGAAAATGACAAATGCTGGAGGAAGTAGAAAAATTAGGACACTAATGCATTGCTAGTGGAGTTCAGCAGCTGGCCAGTTTCAGTAATTAAATGCAGAGGGAGGAAGTCTTCAATCTACTACCCTTTGCAATTCTTTTTCCAACTGATATAAAAATATCATTAAATAAAAACAGATTTTAGGGATCAATATTAAAAAAGAAGTTAACAGTTAAAATATCCTTTGCTTACTTTTTGTTAATATTTGAAGATCTTCAACAGAAGGTGGTCCATTCTTTTTCTCATAAGGAATGACAGTTGTCAAGTACTACCAAGTGAAAAGTGAAGAATTATTTACTTTAGTTATTATGTTTAATTGCAAAAAACTCATTTAGTTAACAGAAACTCTAGTTACTTTGTAACATTAACACATTTCTATAGTAATCAATATGTGCAGTTATATATTAGAAATATAATTATGCTAATCTATTTTTCATTTTTAACAAAATCAATCTATTTCACACAAAACTTATCTCATATACAAAGTTATTTTATATTCAGTTATGGAAAAATTCACTCATGGATATAAAGACAATTTGTTCACTTTTAAAGCTAAAGTTTGTCCTATTCTCCTTGCGCAGATATTCAATAAAATATTTACTGGTATCTGCATAAACCAGTTACAGAGAAGGCACCAACCTGCATAAGTGGAGTTTCCTCAACTGAAAGTTTCCTATATCAATTAAATTCCAGAACTAGTCCCTAATCCATTTAGTCTAGTCCCTAAAATGTATACCATTTTATTAACACTGTGTTTATCAGCCTCTGCCTTTCTTGCTTAATTTTAGTTATTTTTTTTTTACTTTTTTTTTTGGGGGGGGGTGTTAAGTGACTTGCCCAGGGTAACACAGCTACTAAGTGTTATGTGTCTGAGGCCAGATTTGAACTCAGGTCCTCCTGACTCCAGGACCAGTGCTCTAGCCACTGTGCCACCTAGCTGCCTCACTACAGTTTCTCTTAAAGAACAAAATGACAATTGCAAAAATATTATATTCAGCACTTGCCAAAAGTTAATACAAATACATCATCTTAAACATTAATTCCATGGTATTATTACTTCTTAAATTATATAAGTAGTTAAAAACATATGAAGTTCACAAAAGAGAATGAAAGACGTGAGGACAGCTTACCAACAAAGGAGTAAATAGGCATTTTTTAGACAAATTATACACTTGTTAGCCATATCTTAAATCCATAAAACCTAAAAAATAATCACTTAGTTTCTTCCATTCTGACCAAAATCTTTGTATTGCATTTTCAATTTTTACTTGGTACTTATTAAGTTGACAGATCAATTAACTCATCATATACCGAAGTAAAAAATTTGGAGCTAAAAGATTTTCGAGATCATCTAGTCCAGGGCTTCTTAAATTTTTTTCCACTCATCATCCCTTCAGTGCTGTGGGTCATGATGATCCAGTTTAAGAAACACTGATCTAGTCTAACCCTCTCATTTTACCGATGAGGAAACAGCCCAAAGAGGTTAAGTGACTTGCCCAAGGTCACACACAGGTGGTAAGGAGGATTCAAATGCAGTTTCTCTCACTTTAATTCCAGTGCTCTTTCTAATACACCTCACTGCATCTGTTATAGTGTTAGCATACTAGCACTGAATTCTCTTATCCCACTTATAATCTTTGACTGACATGAAAGAAATTATTTAACAGCAAGCAGCTCAAATCCCATCTCCTGAAGGAACACCCCTCAAGGACCTACAAATCCTGTTTCTGATGGGGACCTTACCACAATAATGCTTAAGACACAACTGAAGGTGCTTCTTTGTTTAAAAAACACATAAGACAAAAGAGCACCATCTTTTTTCTGCCATTATTTCAGTGCACTGCAGGAAACTTTCTGGTTGTAAGAGTGCCACAGGTCCTGGCATGCACACATTACTCAAGTGAAAACAGTCTTTCTTGCAAATTTGATCCCAATTCTGGAGTGGAATCAGTTTGGGAATAACTGGAGCCACCTTGAGAGACGTGAAAAGTTAACATCCTCTCTAGATTCAGCCCCACCCTGAACCACATGAATGCCTCTTTGACCTGCCTCTTGGACTTGAATTTGCCACCCTTTCTTAAGTAGTATATAGGAAACATGCAAGCCAAGGGGAAAAAAAAGCCCCTGGGCTCTGATTCCATCCCATCTAGAATCATATCTGGACTAACTTTAGGACTAACCCTAGTTATTACAAGTAATCAAAAAAAAAAACCAAGTAATCAAACTTAAATGTAAATTTTCTTTTCTCTTTGAAATTAGACATTAAATATATCTCTTGTTAATGGAAATCTGCTTCTATGTTTAAAGGGATATTAATATTAGAAAAGAGAAATTTGAAATGTTAATAAGTTGTACATACTGTTGTAAACCTGAATTCTTATAAAAAAAGTTCATTAATGATATTGGATGATCCATATCCCCAGCCTTCACTTATCAGAATAAATTCAGAAAGACTAGTTGTAAAACTTACTTCAATATATTATGACCTACACATGGCTAAGTCCTGCTGTCTTCTTTTAATACAAATAAAAGGGGAAAAAATCCATCTACCTACATATTTATGTATGTTTGTGAATAAGTCCCTTAAGAGCCAAGTCAAACAATAAAGGCTGCAACATTTGACTCTCTTTTTTTCTGATAGAACATAACATCATGCTATCTGTAGTTCTGTGTATATGAGGAATAGCACCTTCTACTTGATTTTTTTAAAACAGTGACTAATCATTTAAGTTTAAGCATGAAGACTAGAGTTCTACAGCAGATATGAAGCCTGTGTGTGTGTGTGTGTGTGTGTGTGTGTGTGTGTATTCTAACCTGAAAAATTTCTCCCCTAAGAGAAATTCTGCAGAATTAAATGTATAGAAGTCTGCTTGAACTTCCACTTTTCCCATGTAAGTAATGGTCTTAGTAAAACTAACAGCTTTCAAGATCTTGATACACAGAGATGCAACAAGCAGAGAATGAAGGAAAATAAAGATAACCAAGCACCTGTTTCTCTCCACCCGAATTCCCAAAGGTGTGGCGGAAGCCATTCTGAATGACATTTGAGATCCCTTCCATGCTGAAGCGCTAAAGGCAGCAAAATATGGTCAGGAAGAAAAGGACAGAGAAAGAAGTTCAAAGACTATTAGTAAGAATTTACCATGATGGCATAAGTGTCCATGAGATAAGCAGTTAGAAAAATGCTGGTATTTATTCGGAAATAACATGCTGTCTTTATGATTTTGATTTCACAATTCAAAACAGAAGTAATAGATTTCAAACAAGCATTTCCATGAACATTTTTACCTGATTCTGCTGCCAGGTAAATTTATCCCAATGAAACATTTTAAATAGAATATTATGGGGTTTTTTATCTGAATATAGTTTTTAAGTCAACTGGTAATTAAATTTAGATTGAAACAATATTTTTAAATAGCTTTTCAAAACATTTACCTTTTTTTTTCCCCAAAATTCCACTAAACAGTATGCATGTTTCCAGTAGAAGTTTACAAACCTCAGACAAAAATCATTTGCCAAATGTTGATGGTCTCATCTGGGAAGCTAATTACTACTTCTTACCCATTTAGGTGTTGAAAAATGTGGGTTGCATGAAATTCAGTGGAGAAATGGAACTTTGAGCAGTAGATATTTTTGGAGAAAGTGCAAATTTGCTAGACCCCTGTTACCTAAAACTTCCATTTCAGTTCTAGGAACCAGCACTGGCTTAATCCGACCAGCAAACTATGTGACTTCCTAGAATTGATTTCCTGGAATATATTGTCCAGGGGCAAGTTAAGCTCTTCCCTAACAACCTAACCTGATTTGTAACCAACCTAAAAATTAAATCAGGAATGGAGTAGAGCTCTGGAAGAGCCTTAAGGCCCTTGACTCAGCCACAACAGCCAGAATCCTACAGGATAAGTGATTAAGAAAAATGCACCTAGAAAGGAAGACACCAATTCCTGGTAGGCCTAGGACTTCTATTCCCTCTACTTGTTAAGGGAAAGGTCAGTCAATCAACACATTCATTTACTCAGTTCCTACCTTACAAAGAGTATTATGAGGAGGCACAAAAGAAACAGGAGATAGAGTCTCTCTGACCTCAAGAAACTTTCAATCCAGTACTGGCTCTTCAATGACTAGTTGTGTGACCTACCCAAGTTGCTTAATCTTGCTAAATCTCATTTTCATCATCTATCAAATAAGAGAGTTTGAATGAATATCTAAAATCCATTCCTACTTCAAAATGCTATGATTTTATGATTCTACTACCCTGAATAGTGGTTGACACCTGAATCAGGAAGATAATATCAAAAATGATCACGTTAAAATATCCAGATTTAAATATTTCAGATCATCAGTAATAACAATAAAATAATAGGACTTTATGGTTTACAAAGCACTTTATGTATATCATTTTTTTTTCTCAAAACAGTTGTGAGGTAAGTAGTACAAATATATTACCTTCATTTTACAGTTGAGGATCAGAAAAAGCAAAAGACTAAACCAAATTCTCAAACCTATGTCTTCTGACACTAAGTCCGGTACCTTTTTTACTACTGCAGCTGCTTCTCTGATAAAAAAATGCAACTTCTGTATGGGTTGCCAGAGAGTAAAACATACATAGAGATGAGGCTAACTCAAACAATCACAATGAGACGATAGTAAGCGGTTCTATGTAGAGAACTAGCAGCTCATCTCTCTCTACAGAAGGTACCCTCTCCAAAGAAGACAAGCTGCCTGTCTGTGAAGCTTGGCCTATGGAACTTTGATGTATTCCTAATTTTGGCAGACTCTCTCAGTGTCCCTTGTATTGGCCTGGCTTCCTGCCCCCTTCATGTAACAGCCTAGGAAATAACCTAGAATCAAAGAATTACAGCATTTAGAGCTGGAAGAGGTCATAAAGATCATCTAATCCAACCCCATCATTTTACAAATATGGAAAACAAGGCCCAAAGAGGTTCAATTATTTGCCGAAACTCACACAGTAAGTAACAGAGGCCACATTCAAACCCAGCTCCTTTGATTCACTGAGTCTCTCTCTTCCTTTAAAACACATCTCAAGCACCATCTTCTACAGAAAACCTTTTCTGATCTCCCTCAAAGCTAGTGGCCTCCCTTCTAATCTACCTCACTTTAATTACTTTGAATATATTTGTATTTATTTTGTACATAGTTACATATGTTATATGTATAACTATATATATATATATGATATGAGCTCTTGTAAGAATTGATATTGATAGGAATTAATATGAGCACATGTAGGAATTGTTTCATTCTCTGTATCCCCAGTATCTATCATAGTGCCTGGCATGTTGCAGGCACTTGATATTTTATTGAATGGTTGATTAACTGACTCCAAGTCTAATGTTCTTTCTACTACACCATATCCCCTTGTCCTAGTGGGACTGTGAGTGGATGTGTGCATACCCCAGTGAGTTGCTATTTTCCAGGTTACTCGCCCATCTTATCCCAGATTCTTCTCATGCTAAGTGTCAGATAAGTATCTACCATTTTCTCTGCTCCTCTGGAGTGTGCACATTCAATTTGATAAATCTTTTTATTAAGCTTCTGCTGAGTGCAGGAAATTGTGCATGAAGCATACAAAGACAAAAACAAAAATGGCCCAGTTAACTTACAACCTGGTACTTAGTAGGCACTTAAATGCTTACGGATTGACTGGATTCTATGGGATAAAGTCAAGCTGCTTTGAAAACAAAATTTTATTCATCTGGCAACAGTGTTCTTTTTCTCATTCAGTTGTAAAATGCTAAATAATCTAAAAGAGCTTAATTTCATTTTAAATCTATAACAGTTGTTCATGCATTGTCTACAATCCCCAAAGTCCTATCTGGAATCTATAACAACAAAAGCAAAGAATCTTTCATTTAACTTTTTTGCTTCCATGTCAGGCTGAGCCTGAAAGCCAACTGAGTTCACCTGGAATATTTTAAGCAATATTTTCCTCCTAAATCTTTCTGCTTCTACAGCAAGCCCCTCCCAATAGCCAGTTCTCATCTTGAGATCTGCTAGAATTTCACTAACCAAACAGCTTCCAATTCTGTTCCACCAAAGCTCACTAGCTATCACCAGCATCCTTACAGTCTTGCATTCAAGAGAAAAGGCATGACGGTAAGATAAAATACTTTGCTTCAAATTACACTTTCAAAATTGGAAAGGGCCTCAGTGGCTATCCAGTCCAGCCTAAACCCCCAAAAGAACCACAACTATATTCTACTATGTAAGTGGCCATCCATCCTCTGTTTGAAAACCACCAATAAAGGGGAACCCTTTACCACCTACGGCAGTACATTCCACTTTTGGATAGCTCTAGTTACTAGGAAATCATTCCCAACACTAAGTCTAAATTGGTCTCTTTGGAACTCCTACTCATTGTTCCCAGTCCATTTTCAGGAGGCCAAATGAAACAAATCAACATTCATGTCCACCTTGAGTTTTCTCTTCTCCTGTTCCTTCAAATAATCCTCATAATATGGCCCTTCATATCCTGGCTACCCTATTCTTGATGCTTTCAAGCTTTTCTCAATGTTCTTCTTAACTTGTAGAATCCAAGACTAATCATAACACTCCAGATGCAGTATGACTAAGGCAGAGTAGAAAGGGACTATCATGCCCTTATTCTTGAAAACTATACTTCTCTGAATGTAAAACAAGATTAGAACAGTTTTCGTGGCAGCCACATCACATTGCTGATATAATTAGCTTGAATCTACCAAAACCCTAATATCTTTCCAAACTGCTAACCTCTTCTTCCCCCTCCTCTGTGCTTGTGAGATTGATTTTCCAAACTCAAACACAAGACATCATACCTATCCCTACTGAATTTCACCTCATTAGATTCAGTTCAATGCTATAGCTATCCCTCATACCTAAGGCATCTGAAAATGTTATGTAGAGGCCGTTTTTGCCTTTATCCAAGTTATTCATCAAAATGCTAAAAAACCAAAGGCCAAGCCTAGATCTCTGGAGTCCACCCTTCAATCATTCTAAATTGATATTAAACCCTCAATGATTACTTTTTGTCCAACAGTTCAAGAAATTCAAAATCCATCCAATCATCTAGCCCAAATAGTTTTCAGTTCTTTGCTAAAATCTACACAAACTATATATCTAAAGAATTCCCCTCATCAGTTTAAGTAACCCTGTCAAAAAAGGAAATAAGACTTTTCGGGTATAACCTCCTATTAGTGAAAACATGATAGTTCTTTGTAACCACCATTTCATTTTCAGACTTCTCATTAATCATCTTTTTGTGATCCACTCTAGGATTTTACTAGGAATCAACACCAGGTTCACTGGCCCATGGTTTTCCGACTCAGTTCTCTTCTCTTCTTCAACAAATAGGACATTTAGGAAGCCACACAGGAAAGCAAGTGAGCAGGGAGGGAAATGTTAAGGTAATAGAAGGGAATAAGAAATTGGTGAGGCAAGTAGGCCAGTAGAGGCCCAAGAGAAACAAAAACCTGCCTCATTCCTTGTTCCTCCACTCCTCCACCTCAGAGCTCCCACTGGATTGTATTTGGTCCAACCTAGCATTGGCCTAAAGGCTGACAGTGGATCAGGAAATGAAGCTCAAAGTTGATTCTTTCAAGGAGCAGATCACAAGTAAGGCAGAATATTTCGTGGCAAATTTTTTACCCAAAGAAGTTGTAAGACCTTGGTAGTTTTTTGAAGGAGACTCTTAAAACAACTATGATTTAGCCTAGGTCCACTGAGACATGAATTTCCCTGTCCCTGATCCAATGCTTCTCATCAATAACCATGACAAACCACATGGACTCCATCTGAAGAAAAGGAAGTTGGATGAGTGCAAAGAAGCCTTCCAGGGCATCACGGTGTCAGTGATGTCTAGTGGGATGATAAAAGCAAACAGCAGTTGGTAGCCATTACTGAAAAAGTAAAATCTAAATGCCAAATATTGATCAAGAAATGCAACAAGATCAAAATGTGGGTAGAGATCTTTATTTCCAGTGTAGAGGATAGGAACAACTCTGTTATATCCATCCAGGCCATGTGGCACAACAGATAGAGCACTGGGTCTGGAGACAAAGGGGAGAGGGTTG